GACTTTGTGATCCACCCTGAGCTTGTTTTGCTTTGCTTGACTGGTCCTGTGACCCCTTGTTCTCCCCCACTTTACCTATGGGGGTGTGTCAGATTTATATGACATAGCTACTGTAGGCTATAGTGGGGTAGCACATATGGGGTACAGTTTTCCTAGGGTTTGCATTTTGTACCCAACTTTCCCTTAGTCATTTCATTCCTCGTTTCTTATCATGGGCGAGTAGTATGGCATGGATTTGGGCAGTGGGGCGGGTCAGTGCGTCGGCGATGTTTGATGCCCCTTTTTTGTAAGTGACCGTGTAGTGGAAGTTTGACTCCAGAAAATCGAGCCAACGGATCGGTCGTGTGTTGAGGTGGGGTTGTGCGCGTAGGTACTGTAGTGATTTGTGGTCTGTCCGTATTGTCACGTCTGCGCCGGTCAAGTAACAGCGCCACACTTTGAACGCATGCACGATCGCGAGCATTTCGCGGTCGTGTATCGGGTAATTCTTCTCGGGCGGATGCAACTTTTGTGACTCGTATGCGATGGGCTGTAAACCGTTGCCGAAATCCTGTAGCAGTACGGCTCCAATGGCGATGTCGCTTGCGTCTGTAACCACTTCGAATGGGAGGTGTGGGTCGGCGATGCGCAGGACGGGCGGTGAACAGAGAACATTTTTCAGGGCAGAGAAGGCAGCATGCTCTTTCTCCCCCCACGTAAAAGTGACCCCCTTCCGCAGCAGATCCGTCAGTGGGGCTGTTAACCTCGCCATGTCGGGGACGAACCGACGCACGTAATTAACGAACCCTAGAAAACTCTGCAGCTCCGTGATATTTGGCGGGGGGTGCCACGCTTTTACCGTGTCCAGCTTCTTTGGGTCGATCTCAACCCCAGCCTCCGAAATACCGTGCCCCAGTAACTCTAACAAGTCCTGAAAAAACTCGCACTTGGAACCCTTGGTCAGTAGCCGGTGTTCGTCTAAAATTTTTAAAACTGCTTCGAGGTCTGCTAAGTGCTGCTGCTTGTCGCGACTATAGACGAGGATGTCGTCGAGGTAAACGATCACACATTTATCTAAGAGTGGCCTAAACGCCTCGTTCATGGTCATCTGAAACGTCGCCGGTGCGTTGGTCAGCCCGAAAGGCATCACAGTGTACTCAAAGGACCCGTACCTAGTTCTAAACGCTGTCTTGGCGCAGTCTGATGGTTCAACCCTAATCTGGTGGTAACCTCCCCGTAAGTCGATTTTTTGAAAAGACTCGTGCCGTTCGCTGTTGATCTATCAGTTCGTCGGCGCGGGGAATGGGGTATCGGGACTTGACTGTAACCCTGTTCAGTGCCCTGTAATCGATGCACATGCGAAAACCTCCGTCCTTTTTCGGTGTGAACATTATCGGTGCGGCGAACAGTGACGAGCTCGGTCGGATGAATTTTTTTTCTAACAGATAATCTAGCTGCTTCCTTAGTTCGTCGAGCTCGGGCTGTGTCAGTCTGAACTGTCGCTGTACGGTTGACTGTGCCCCGGGTTCTAACTCTATTCGGTGATCGTGTGCCCGCTGAGGTGGCAGTCCCTCCGGTAAGTCATCGGGAAAAATCCCTGGGTACTGTTTCAACAGTTCCTGTAGTTCGGGCAGTACCGCTGCCAGCAGTTTCTGAAAATCGCTCGGCTACTCTGCTTCTTCTACCACTGCGATATCCACCGCGTACACGTCAGCTCCAGCGGCGACAACCCGTTTCATCGTGATGGCGTTGACGTGGACCGTTGAAGACTCGGGCGACTGCCAGCGAGGTAATTCGACCCAGTTACCGCTACTTCGCACAGTGCAGCTACCCGTCGTCCAGTCGATTCGCGGGTTATACCGTCGCAGCCAATCACGTCCCATTAAAATGTCGTGCCCATCCAATGTCGTTGCGAGCATTTCCTGTGTAAACCCGAAGTTCCCCCCGCAGCGGACTTTTACTCTCTCCACCTTCTCCCGTATGGCCAGCGGCGTTCCGTCGACTAAGCGTGCGTCTATCTCCGGTAAGCACCGACTAAGTGCCAGTTGCAGCTTCCGTGCGGTTGCGGTATTAACTAAGCTGTGACTTGCTCCTCCGTCTATAAAAATCTTCATTGCCGCTCCCTGTATTTTCCCGTGGATCAGTACTGGGCAATCCGTCGCTGTACCCTCCTTATTCATCCGAGCCCGATCGATGGCGTGAATCGGTACTGTGACTCGGTGAGGGTCGGTGAGGTTGGGCGAGCAGGCAGTCTCGTCAGGAGTTGGCCCAATTTCTACTGACTGTTGGCGTTTCCCTGCCTCTGAGACTCCCTCCCCTGCTCTGCTCCACGGCGCCTTAGCTCCTCTGGGCACTCGCTTTTGCGATGGCCCGGCCTGTTGCAAGCAAAGCAGCGCCCCTTAAACGGCGCGGCAGCTGCATTCGTCGCAACGGCGTGTACGGTGGTGTGCTCGATCGGTCCCCGAGGGCGATGTCCGTAGTAGGACCCCGGTCTCGGACGGCGCAAAATGTCGATTTTCCCGGCGAGCGCGAGGATCTCGTTAAAATTCGAGAGCCCGCGTAGCATGATTTCGTGCGAGATGGCCGGCTTCAGCCCTCCGACGTAACGGTCCACCCGCTCCGCTTCGTGCATGTAGCCGACTTGCTCGCAAAATGCGAGAAAACCGCTCGTGTAGTCTTGAATCGATCCGAGCTGCCGCCAAGTACGCAGTCTCTGACGCGCCGAAATAGAAGACGCGATCGGCTCAAAGCGCGCCCGAAGCCCTGCGCACCACGCATCCCACGTGCTGTACTAGGCGGTTTCGCAAAATGAACTCCAGGTGACGGCTGGGCCCGTGGGCTCTTCCTCTTGCGACGGTGGCTCGTAGGCGCGTGGCGACGTCACGATGACTCGCCACCAGTCCATGGCGGGGTCCCTCAGCAGCGAAACAGCGTTGCGAATCTTCGCTGCGTCTGACTCGACGTAATTCGCGTCGAAGAAAACGTTCATCGTGAAGACCCACGATTGAACCGTCAGACCTCCACGTTGGCTCGGATCGAAACAGGGCGGGCGCTGCGGCTTGAGTGGCATTGGTGCCATGATGTCGTGGCTGCCACTTGTTGCTGCAAACTCCACGTGCCGAAGAGCTTCGCGAGGCCCACGCGGGCTTGGTGCGGCCCTATTTCTCTCCATGCCAGGCATCGATTGAGCGGCGCCATCACTGGCTGCGCGCTGTCCCACGCTGTCGTGTTGCGTCGGTGTGCCTGATGAGATGACGATCGGTTCTTCTGATTGCGCAGGTGCATTTGCGGGTGCAGGTGCTGGAGCATTCACCGTTGATTGCTGGCGAGCGGAGTCGCGTTCCTCCGTGAGCGCCACAATTTCGAGCGTCGAGTCTTCGAGTTGGCGCACGAGACGGTCGAGTTGCTCATGCGTCAGTGTTGCGATGTTGAATTCAGCCATGGCGGGGGTGTCGGGCAAGCTCAGCGAGAGCCTCTGTCGTGGCCGTGCGTGCTTACGAGAGAGCACTACGAGCGGCGGTGCTTGTTTCGCTGAGAGACGTCTACCCCCCCCCCCCCCCCCCAAAATGAGAAAGTGGGGAAGCGAAGGTGTGGGTTCGGTCCAAGAAGAGATCGTAGGCTCTGAATACCAAGTGTTACGAGTGCAATTGAGTGAGCGAGCGACAATTGCACTATCGAAGCAAAACAATACTGTTGAGCGAAAAGCATGAGCGAAGTTATATAGCGAAGCTAGCGTGGTAACGGTAATGCGGGAAATTGGGGTTCGCTACGGACCTAGCGCCGAGGTTTGGGAATTGTAAAGGCGGAGGTCCGGAGCGCGGGTTACCAACCGAACCGTTAGGTTGGGTCGCGAACAGTGGCGGGAGTCGTGGCCGAGGCGAGTGCTGTGAGCAGGAACGTTTCACTGTGGGTGCCGATGGCGGGAGTGGTCATGTACGCGGTAAGCAGGGGCGTGAGGTAAGGAAAAGGAATTTTCCTTACAACTCTCAATCATCCACTCGAGCTGCAACCTGTGGCTCCTCAAACTGCCACGCTGATCCAATCCCAAGGGGTGAGAGCACATCCACTTGTGATTCTGGCGACCGTCGCCAATGGCAAAAGGCTTTCGCTGACCGCGGTTACACACTCGACTGGCAGGCTCCACCAAGCAGCGCTGGACAGCCAGGCTAACGAACTGCAGGCGACATTGGCGAGAAATCGGATGCGCGATGATTTTTCGACCACCGTTTCGAATCTTGATCCTCACAATCTGCAACGGCTAGTTTGCTTGCGGTTGCGTTTGCGGCACATCTTCCTGTCACGCACGATCGAAGCAGGAAGGAGGTCATTTGGGTGGGAGCTGTAGGCTCTGACGCTAGGATTTCCTCCTCCGTCCCTCTCTACTTCTCCTCGACGGCATTGCCCTTTGAGGCTCAGGAAGCTGTGCTCCCCAAAGTTCGATAGTTTATTAGTTTCTTTCTTTTCCGATATTGACTCCCTGCTTCTCGTATTGTCGTTTTTGGCTGTTACTAATGGCGGCGTGCTGCATTCAGCTGCGCGCCGATGCGATATCGTCAGTGCGACTCAGTCCGGCTTTTCATGAATACAGTCAACGTTCTTCACAGCCCTCGTCGCGGCCTTCGCAAAGCATTCTGCTAACCAACGCACGGTCCTGCTTCCATGCATCCATTTCTCCTTCAGTTATTTCGCGGTTTAAGGAGCCTCGCTATGCGTCCTCTACTTCTATAAACAGCGCAAGTAGCAGCGAACCGTGCCGTTTAAGATCAATCGCCCGGCATTCCCAAGGATTCCATGACAATGTTGCTTCCAGGACTTCTCCGGCCGCTCCCATCCTTCCTTCCCGTTTCCGCAATATTACCGCAATTAGAAGCCTCGTTACAAACTCTGTCTTTCAGGCCAAATCGTTCACAAATACCAGCCGCAGCAGCAGCCGCGGGAGCAGCAATAACGATAAGGATGGCAAAAGCGGAAGCAGCGCAGCAGGTTCCTCCGAGATCGGTTGGAGGCAGTTTATCGGAACCATGGCAGCGGCTGTTCTGCTGGCCGTGGGTCTCGTGTCCTTCCCCGTGGGCCAAGCAAGTGAGAGTCGATCGTCTGTTGTTCTCCTGTCGCCTCCCATCCATCTCCTTCTTCCTCTCAGCTATTTGTTTCATTATATAGTTACTGGAACATATATTTTCTCCGTATTGTCCATGTCACGTCAAAGCTTTGATGGAGTGAAAACATTTTGCAGTTTCGAAGGTGGATGGAGGGGTAATGGACTGTGCATACGATTATTTTTTATTCTGCTCATCATTTGCATTCCTCATCCATTTCGCAGGGGCTTTAACGGAGGAGAACCTCGTGTTTTTGGAGGCGTGGAGAGTGGTGGACCGCGCATACGTGGACAAGAGCTTCAACGGGCAGAGCTGGTTCCGGTACCGCGAGCAGGCTCTCAAGAAGGAACCCATGAACAACCGCGAGCAGACCTGTGAGTATTCTATGATGCACTCTCTTGTAGCAATGCCTCACATGACTTCTGTTATTAGACGTTGCACTTGCGCTTCCACCAGCGTCAGTCTCGAGCATGTCTTCTCCCCACATAGCATGTCTCGAGCCTGTGGCCTGTGGTCTGTGGCCTGTGGTCTGTGGCCTGTGGCCTGTGGCCTGTGGCTCCACCGAATCCCATCAGCCCCATTCCCCATGTTTACCCTCTACACCCCGTCTTCATCTAGCGGTGTCACCCCACCTCCCACCTCCCTCCTCCCACCAGACGCTGCGATTCGCAAGATGCTGGCATCACTGGACGACCCCTTCACGCGCTTCTTTGAGCCGGGCAAGTTCCGCTCGCTCAAGGCCGGGACGCAGGGCCAGCTCACAGGAGTCGGCCTCGAGCTCGGCTTCTCCCTGGATGGAAAGCAGCTGGTGGTGGTGGCGCCGGTGCCCGGGGGGGCGGCGGACCGGGCGGGAGTGGCTCCCAGGGACGTGATTTTGAGAGTCAATGGCGAGGCGGTTAACGGACTTGGACTGTATGACGCCGCGCAGAAGCTGCAGTGAGTGCGTTTCTGGGGGGTTCTGTGTGGATTTTTTGGGGCTTTGGGAGGGTTTTAAGAGTTTGGAGGGTTGTAGGGGGTTTTGATGGGTTTTGAGGTTGTCTAGTCCAGCTGGTTGAGGTACATCTGAGCTCACCGGAGTCGGGCTCGAGCTCGGCTTCTCCCCGGATGGAAAGCAGCTGGTGGTGGTGGCGCCGGTACCCGGGGGCCCAGCGGACCGGGCGGGAGTGGCTCCCAGGGACGTGATTTTGCGAGTCAATGGCGAGGCGGTTGACGGACTTGGACTGTATGATGCTGCGCAGAAGCTGCAGTGAGTGCGATTTTGGAAGGGTTTTAGAGGGTTCTGGAATTCTGCAGCCTAAATGATTTGGTTACAGATGAGCTGCGAGGCGTAGGGCTGGTGATGGCCTGCAGGCGGCAGGCAGCTGGTGGTGGTGGCGCCAGTGCCATTGGCCCAGCAGACCAGGCGGGAGTGGCTCCCAGGGACGTGATTGTGAGAGTTGACGGGGGGCCTGTGGTCGGACTTGGACTGTATGACGCCGCACAGAAGCTGCAGTGAGTGCGGTTTTGAGTGGTTCTGGGGGTTTTCAGGGGGTTTCTAGGGGGTTCTGGGGGTGGGGGGTTGTAGATGTTTTTCATGGGTTTTAGGGATTTTGCAGTCCCGAATATTGGGGTACAGTTGGGGTGGGAGGCGTTGGGCTGCAGCTGGGCGGCAGACGGCAAGCAGCTGGTGGTGGTGGCGCGGTACCCGGGGGCCCAGCGGACCGGGCGGGAGTGGCTCCCAGGGACGTGATTGTGAGAGTCAACGGGGAGCCCGTGGAGGGACTTGGGCTGTATGACGCCGCGCATAAGCTGCAGTGAGAGCGATTCTGGGGGCTTTTGGGGGTGTCTGGGGAGTTGTGAAGGGTTTTGGGGTCTTTCTTTGCGCATGCCGGTGGGGTATCGGATCCTGTTTCTTTGTGCACAGGTACGCTGTATGTTTCAGGTTCTATGAGCTGGGAGGAGTCGGCCTTGGTACTACTCCCTTCACCTTAACCTCCCATCCCTCTTCACCCCTCGTCACCCTTCTTCAACCGTTTTCAACCCTCTTCTCTCCTAAACACCAGGGGTCCAGCTGACTCCCAAGTTGAGCTGACCGTGCAAAGAGGAGGAGAAATAGTCAAGCAACTTCCCCAGCAGAGGGGGAGGCAGCAGCCGAGTCAACAAAGTCAACCGAGTCAACAGCAGCCACAGGAGCTCACATTCACCCCTCTTCACCCCTCTTCACCCCTCCTCACTCCTATTTAACAGGGGTCCTGCTGACTCTCAAGTCGAGCTGACCGTGCAAAGAGGAGGAGAGGTAGTGAAGCAACTCTCCCAGCAGAGGGGGAGGAAGCAGCAGATTTAACAAAGTCAACTGAGTCAACAGCCCCAGGAGCTCACGTTCACTCTCACTTGCCAGAAGGTCTCCTTCAAAACTCTGTTATCTACCAAACCTCACCTCCCTTCATCCTTCTTCACCCCACTTCACCCCTCCTCAGTCCTATACACCAGGGGTCCAGCAGACTCCCAACCCAAGTTGAGCTGACGGTGCAAAGAGGAGGAGAGGTAGTGAAACAACTCCCCCAGCAGAGGGGCAGGCAGCAGCCGAGTCAACAAAGTCAACCGAGTCAACAAAGTCAACCGAGTCAACAAAGTCAACCGAGTCAACAAAGTCAACCAAGTCAATGGCAGCCACAGGAGCTCACATTCACTCTCACGTGCCAGAAGGTCCCCCTCAACATGGGTATTCACTGCCGTGGTACTGTTACTTCCTTCACCTCGCCTCCTCACCCCTCTTCACCCCTTTCTACCCCTCCGAACTCCTATTCACCAGGGGTCCCGCAGACTCCCAAGTTGAGCTGACCGTGCAAAGAGGAGGCGAGGCAGTCAAACAACTCCCCCAGCAGCAGAGTCAACAAAGTCAACCGAGTCAACCACCACAGGAGCTCACATTCACTCTCACGCGCCAGAAGGTTTCCCTCAACCCCGTTATCTTCCGAACCTGCGACCTCTCTCGGCAAGCCTCGGCGGCTCTCCTGACCTCTGGGAATGGTTCGGCAGGCAGCTTCGGCAGCAATGGGAGCGCTGTCACCCGTGTTGCAGAGGGTGGTGGTGCCGGTGTGGGTGTGGCGCCGGCAGGCAGTGAGGAGAAGGTCCGAGTGGGGTACATCCGCCTGACCACATTCAACCAGAACTCGTCAAGTAAGTGTGTACGGGTGTCAGTATGAGTGTCTGTGTGCGCGTCCGTATGTGCCAGTCTGTGTGTAAGTGTGGTGCTGGTGTGGGTGTGGCGCAGGCAGGCAGGCAGTGAGGAGAAGGTCCGAGTGGGGTACATCCGGCTGACAACCTTCAACCAAAACTCATCTAGTATGTTTGTCAATATGTGTCTGTGGGTGTGTGTCAGTATGTTTCAGTATGTGTGAGTGTGAGTAGTTCGTTTGTGAAAATTCTTGAAAACTAGCAGGTTGGCAGTGAGGAGAAGGTGCGAGTGGAGTGCATCCTGCCTTACGACCTTCAACCAGAAGCAATCAAGTAAGATCGTCAGCGTTTGCGTTAGTAAGAATGTATCCATCACTCTCCATCCCTCTCCCAGGCGCGCTAAAGCTGGCACTGGAGCAGCTGACAGGGGAGGGAGCCACAGCATTCATTCTGGACATCCCCTTGTATATCCCCACTCTCCATCTCCATCCCTCTCCATTCCCCTCCATCCCTTTCCATCCCTCCCCCAGGCGCTCTAAAGCAGGCACTGGAGCAGCTGACAGGGGAGGGAGCCACAGCCTTTACTCTAGACATCCCCTTGTGTATACCCACTCTCTCTCTATCCCTCTCCATCCCTCTCTATTCCTTTCCATCCCTCTCTATCCCTCTCCATACCTCTCCATCCCTCTCCATCCGTCACCCAGGCACTTTAAAGCAGGCCTTGGAGCAGCTGACGGGGGAGGGAGCCACGGCCTTCATTCTGGACATCCGCAACAACAGCGGAGGGCTGTTTCCTTCCTTTACCCACTCCTTTACCCATGCTCTCTCTCCCCCATCCCTCTCTCAGGCGCCTTAATGCAGGCCTTGGAGCAGCTGACAGGGGAGGGGGCGACGGCCTTCATTCTGGACATCCGCAACAACAGTGGAGGGCTGTTCCCTCCCTATACCCACCCCACTACCCTTATACCCACTCCTCTACCCTTACACCCACTCCCCCATCCCTCTCTCAGGTGCCTTAAAGCAGGCACTGGAGCAGCTGACAGGGGAGGGAGCCACGGCCTTCATTCTGGACATTCGCAACAACAGCGGAGGGCTGTTCCCATCCGCCATTGAGATCGCCAAGATGTGGTGAGCTGTGGGGCCGAGGCTGGTGCAAGCAGGTGTCACAGGGTGATCAGGAAGACAGCACTGAGTCAAGAAAGACGCAAAGACAGGTTAAGGTAGGAGAGTTTGAGTCCCTCATCAGCAACAGGGCTGTTCCCCTCCGCCATTGAGATAGCCAAGATGTGGTGAGCTGTTCTGCCGAGGCTGGTACGCGTCATGCGTGATAGGAATTCCAGGTTGGAGCAGGCAGAGGTGTGCCGGAGGCAGGCAGAGGCAGGCAGAGGCCAACACAAGCCAGGAAGAGCGGGTGAGAATGACAAGGGCGTTCACATGTGATAGGACATCAAGACTTGGGCAGGTAGGTGCACGAGGCACGGCACAACAGGAAGAGAGCGTGAGGTTGACAACAAGTCAAAGCAACACCCGCCTTAACAGCAACAGTGTAGGCTCTTTTGCTACCTTCAAGTTCGCTTTGCATGCTCCCTCTTATATTACACCCCCTTCTCTCCCATTTGTTTTCCTCTCTCCCTTTCCCCTCCCCCTCAGGCTCAGCAAGTCGGTGCCGGTATGCATCACGGACAGGAGTGTAAGGCAGGAAATGCTACTCCTGAGTCCGCTTCACCTGTCTCCCCCCCTTACATCCATTCAGGATCAACAAGGGCGTGCTGGTATACATCACATACAGCCTAGGGGTGCGGGACGTGTATGAGACCAACGGGGAGGGTACCATCGCCAACTTTCCTACTCTCCCTCTCTTCCCCTCCTCACAGGATCAACAAGGGGCGTGCTGGTGGTGTACATCACAGACAGCCTTGGGGTGCAAGGCAAGGAGTCCTCTGAGTCTACTCCACCTGTCTCCACTTCTTCACTCCCCCCTTTCTCTCTCCCGGCGTGCTAGTGCACATCACGGACAGCCTGGGGGTGCGGGACGTTTATGAGACTTGACTCGCCCAGTTTCCCCCGTCCTCCTCCTTCTCTCTCTCCCATTCAGGATCAACAAGGGCGTGCTGGTATACATCACAGACAGCCTAGGGGTACGGGACGTTTATGGCTTGCCTCTTCAGTGTGTTTTTTTCTCCCATTCCTTGCTCCTAATCTCCACCATCTCTCTCCCTTACCTCAATTCAGGATCAACAAGGGCGTGCTGGTATACATCACAGACAGCCTAGGGGCGCGGGACGTGTATGACTTGACTCTGCACTGGGTCTCGTGCTCTTGTTTCCCCCCTCCACCCTTCTCCCGCTCTCTCCTTCTCGCCCTCCTCCCAGGATCAACAAGGGCGTGCTGGTATACATCACGGACAGCCTAGGGGTACGGGACGTGTATGAGACGAACGGGGAAGGCTCAATTGCCACCACTCAGCCTCTTGCCGTGCTGGTGAGTCCCACTCCCCATCCTCGTGCTGTGCTGCTGAGCACCACTCATGTCCTGTGCCGTGTGCTTTGCTGCTGAGCCTTCTACTGTGGCTTCCCCAGTCATCTGCATTTCGGTTTTTAACACGTGTATGATAATGAGATCAATAGGGAGGGTGCAATTGCCGCCCCTCTGCCCCTTCCCTGCTGGTGAATCCCAATCCCGAGCAAAGTGCAGGTTTTCCTTCCCACACTCATTCCATTTATGAGTCACCTTTGAAAATTCTCAGTGATTACTCGAACTCGCAGGTTTCCCTTTACACGCTCGAATTGCGTAAGAAGCTGCCTCATCTCATGCTGATTCATCCTTCACTATTCTTTCCTTCTTTCCTCCCCTCTTTCCCCCGTTTCCCCATTTCCCCCCTCTGCCTGCAGGTGAACAAGGGCACAGCAAGCGCCAGTGAGATCCTGGCAGGGGCGCTGAATGCTGCTTTTTTCCTTCCATTCACCCTTCTATGTTCACCCCTCCCTTTTTTTACCACGTTTCCCTACCCCTTTCCTCTCTCCTTTAGGTGAACAAGGGCACAGCAAGCGCCAGTGAGATCCTGGCAGGGGCACTTAAGGACAACAACCGGGCTCTCGTGTTTGGGGAGCCCACCTTCGGCAAGGGGTGAGATGAGAGGCACAGCCGTACAAGGTTTAGAGAAGTGGGAGAGCCTTGGGGAAGAGCTTATGAGAGTTCTAAACAGTGAGAGGCAGGGGCACTCAAGGACAACTACAGGCCTCTCGTATTTGGCGAGCCCACCTTTGGCAAGGGGTGAGAGCCGTGAAGCAGGCGTTTTGTGCTAGCTTGTAGGGATCAAGAGAGAGGACTGGCAGATGTTTGGTAAGAGAGATGTGAGGCTTGTTACCAAACTCGCCCCACTGTTTGTGCTTTCCCTTGTGTCCCTTTCTTTTTGTACTCTCTCCTCCACCGTCTTCCCTTTCTGCACTTTCCTGAACGTATCGCTCCCTCGTGTTACTTTCTGCTCTTACAGATCCCTTTCTTCCTCGTTCACTCGCTGTCTCTCGGTTGTCCTCCCTCTTGCCTTCCCTTCCCTCTTACTTGTACCCGTCACTGCAAGACACAGTCTGCGTTTAATAAGAGTTGAGAGGCTTGCTACTGGACCAACCCAAACAAAATTTCCTCCATCAGTCACACTCTCTCATACACTCTGTCTTTCTCCCTCCCGACTACTCTCGCCGTCCCTTCCCCGCACCCTTTACAGCAAGATCCAGTCGGTGTTTGAGCTGTCGGATGGATCAGGGCTTGCAGTCACCATCGCGCGCTATGAAACCCCTGATCACACCGATATTGACAAGGTGAGAGATTGTTGATGGGGTGGAGGCTTGCTGGTACTACTGATGAAGGTCCCTACCGGGTTTGACTGACTTAGTTAAACGAAAGGGGCCAGCATTATAGAAAGAAGGCCGGGTGCATCAATTGGAGACGAGGAAAAACCCTCTTGACCTTATGGAATCCGAACCGTGATGTTTTTTCTTGTCAAGGAGAAACCGCTCCAGAACCTTTTTTCGTATATGAACAACTTCTCCTGACATGGGTAGTGTTTTCTCTTGTATCCCGCAAGCAGGTGGGCATCTTGCCAGACTACCCTCTCCCTGATGCCGTCCCAATGGACCCTGATCAATTCTGCCAGTGCCTCTGCCCTGGGAGTCCCTCCAATGCTCAAGTTAGCAGCGGTTCTTCCAATGGGGCAATAAGCAGCAATGGTGCTGCCAATGGTGCAGCTACTTTTGAATTTCAAGATGCAGTTGCCCCCCCTTGCTCTCTGCCATCTTCCCTTCTCTTTCCGCGGTCTTTGCTTGCTAAGTGAAGTGTAATAGTGGTGAAGTTCCTTCTTGTAGCCAGAATTTGGGCGTATTAAAAGCAGGTGAATTATCTGATCAATTGCATTCAAATATTCTTTAATTCTTTTGGTAAGTTAAGCTGTCAGTCGTGCTCACCTTATTTCTATAGCGCTGTTCGTAAATGGGTGAACTACACTCTCAGGGCGTATTCCCAGTGTAACGGTGGAGTTTGTGACTGAGGCGCGGTCGAGCGAGAGCCTTTTTTAACACCAAGAGTTAGAAATACTGACAGACATCTCTCCAGTTCCAAATGACTTAGTGTGACATGCGATTCAAAATATCTGGGATCACCAAACCAAACGCGGTCTGCCCTAACCACACCCTCCCCGTCTAATCACCACCTAGGTTAGTAACTACCTCCTTCCCGCCCGTCTCGCATCCTAGTAGCGCTCGCACCTGGTTATCCTTTCAAATCAGAGATGTCGCGTTGTTCCGACACGTTGTCAGACGGATCCTCGACCGTTGATTCCAGCTGTTTGCCAGACGATATGCTGACATCTCCTGACGCGGCGTCTCCGCCTGTCGACCGCTTATCAGATGACCTCCTGAGCTCCGTCCTCCGTCTGGCTTCCGTCGACGACTCTCCCCCGTTACGTCTCTCTCTTGTCTGCAAACGATGGCTTCGCATAGCTTGTCTGATTCAGACCTCCATTCCCTCCGCGTTCTTTGCTTCCCTCGGCGCTCAAAAGTTTCCTCCTCCGCGCAGAATTGTCAGCCGCATAATCAGCGGAAGCAGCAGCAGCAGCAGCAGTAGCACACGTGCCCGTCACGACAATCCCAGAGGCGACGACAGTTCTATATTCAACTACAGCAACCTAGGACGCCCCGATAGAGTCGCTTACCTCCTTAATTACCTCTCCAGGTTCCCTTATCTCTCGCGCCTTGCCACGTCACCCCACTGCTTAGAAGCCTACCAAGGAGTCTTCTTCAGTCGCCTCCCTCTCTCCTGCCCAGCTCTAACCTCCATTACATTTTCCCCGCTCACATCTCCACATTCATCCATCAGCGAATCAGATCTTAACGGGTTTTTTCAGGCGTTCAGGACGCAGCTGAGGGAGGTGTATCTGGACGGATGCATCAATAAAATCACAGTCATGCCAGCTTCCCTTACAGTCCTCTCCTCCCTTCGTTTACTGCACATTCAGTCCAGCTCTCTACTCGAATTTCCTGAGAATCTAAGCTCCCTATCCTGCTTGCAAGAGCTCTCCCTCTGGTGCTGGAAACTTTCCGTTCTGCCCGAATCTATCGGGCAGCTCTCATCCTTGACAAAGCTGGAGCTGGTCTATTGCTCCAGTCTTCCTCAGCTGCCCGAATCTCTCACCCAACTGCCCGCTCTCACTACCCTCAACGTTTCTCACTGCTCCAATCTGTTCGACCTGCCCCAGAATTTCGGGCAGCTGAAGGCTCTGCAAACGTTCACATTAGCTGGGGGATCTTTTTCGACGGACTTACCGGATTCATTTTGCAGGCTGCCCAGTCTTAGCAAGCTTGAATTGCGGCATGCTTATTGGCTAGACACCTTCCCGTCGTCGATCTCGTCCCTCCAAAACCTTCATTCCCTTGACCTGAGCATCTGCAATTGGCTCAAGAATCTGCCCGAAGAAATCGGGCAGCTGCAGAAACTAGAGGAGCTAAGACTGACCGACTGTCTGAAAATTAACCGGCTTCCAGATTCCATCTGCTCTCTTTCCAACCTGAAACTCATATCTCTCCAAAAATGCTTCAGTATAGAGTGTCTCCCTACAGCGTTAGGAAACCTATCCTCCTTAACCCATCTAGAGCTCCTGAAACTTGCCAAGCTGACCGCCTTACCCACCTCTGCACAGCATCTGCAAAACCTGGAGGTTCTTATATTGAAGGGGTGCAAATCGCTTGTGAGTGTGCCGAGGCTGCTGTTGCAGCAGCAGCCTCGTTTGAAGCACCTTGTGTTGGATCACTTTCCATGCTTGGACCAGCTGCTGCTGGATATGGGCGCTACAGCCGCCACAGCCACTGCAACCGCTACCGACGCCGCAACCGCCACAGCCGCTTTAACTGCTTCTCCTGCTCCTCCCCATTTCCCTCCTGCTGCTGCAACTGCTCCTCAAAACCCCCCTCCTCCTGCCACTCTTCAGTTCCTTCCTGTTGATCTGGATCCAACCCATCTGGCTGCAACGGCAACAGCTTCACCTCTCCTCCTCCCACCGTCCCTCACTCACATTGAGCTCGCTCGCAGCAGCACCATCTCAGCTCTCCCCCACTCGCTCTCCCTCCTCACCAGCCTCCAAACCCTCTCCATTCGACGCTTCTCCTCCCTCCTCTCCCTCCCCTTCCCTGCCTTCAACCACCACCCCCCCACAACAAACGTTCTCATCGCAAGCTGCCCGTCGCTCGCTCTCCCTTCAAGCTGTCCCTCGCGCCAGCTGTCGCCTTGCCAGGTGTCAGGCCAAATCGAAGCGTGCCAGCTGGCAAAGCTTCAGGAATTGAGGATTGCGTTCTGCAAGAAGTTGACGTGCCTTCCTGATTCGCTGCACCTCCTCCTCCCCTCGCTCTCTCGCCTCGTTCTTTTCAGCTCCACTGCCCTTTCTACGCTGCCCGAATATCTCGGTCAGCTTAAGAAACTCTCGTACCTGGAGCTGTCTCGCTGCACTGCACTGAAAAACCTTCCAAACTCTCTCTGCACGTCAACATCATTGGAGCAACTCATAATGTCCTCCTGCCCTGCAATATCCACCCTGCCCGCAAACATCGGGCAGCTGCCATCTCTAAAGAAGCTCTCTTTGGAAAATTGCAAGGGTTTGACAGCCCTGCCCGATTCTCTAGTCCAGTCGCCATCTCTCTCCTACCTGCTGGTTTCGGGGTGTGCGGAATTGTCAGGGCTGCCCGAGGATTTGGGTCTCCTCAAATCGTTGGAAGTTCTGATTGTGCGATCATGCGATAAGATTCTTGAGCCACCTGCCTCGTTGGCGTATGCAGCGAGGCTGAGAAAGGTTGAGTTTAGAGACTAACTGCTTGCTCTTTTTACCTTTGCTTTTGTATTCAAAATTGCAGTAGTACACTTACAGATAATGGATACGGTATGTTTGTTGTTGCTGGAATGTGGAACATGTACGCGTTTGGGACCAACAAGCATGTCCATCCATGAACACGACCCCTTAGTGCATGTCCCCACTCAACCGTTGCAGATGCGTTTGTCTACGCTCTGAACCGCAACGGAATGAATTTCGGGGACTAGCTCTTGAGAAGAAGCATTGAACATGTAGCGTCAGGCTGACGAGGTTTTGACCAGATCGATTTAGGTCGTATCTCCAGCAAGTGTCAAGAGCGGCTAGTGTCAAGCGGGGAAAGTGCTTGACACCAAGTCGAGTCGCACCCACGCGCGGCTCCAGGTTGGTGTCAATGTTGCCAACATTGGGCGAACAGGGCGCCCTGGCCGTACAACTTCCCGCGAGACCACATGTTGACACCAGGAGGTCTAGTCCTCCATCCTTTTTCTCGGTTAGTGTCATGACACTAGCCGCTCTTGACACTTGCTGGAGATACGACCTTAGGTAAAAGCATCACCACATTGAACGGCCTTCGCTCCAGTATTATAATTCCTGACAGTCAGATTCGTCACGGCGCTCTTATATCTGACGATCTGGCAGTTTAAATCCTTCTTTTGTTTTCCATAATGGCGTCAAGTTCTTTAGAGCGGCAGTCTCACGCAGTTGCTTCGACGGAAATGCCAGTGCCACCACTGGCGGCCCTCACGGAAGCCATGTTTAATGACCTCGCGAAGCAATTTGCTGCTACTAGAATTGCTTCTAGCGAACCGAGTAGTGAAAGGAATACTGAAGCAGAATTAGACATGAGAGACACGGCGATGGAAGCACGAGGCGCGGTCATGGAGGCAAGGAACAGATGCATTGACGGAGGAGATGTGGATGAAATGACGGAAAAGGAAGGGAGAGTCGCGTGGAGTGACGGCGAAGATCCCGAGGTCACTATCAGCGCAACGATGGCGGCTAAGCTTGGTATGATGGCCTGGTGTGCGTCTGCCTGCCCTGATAGTGTGAGGCGCCTCAAAATGAAACGAGAAACGCGTCGCGTTACAGCGACAAAACCTAGTCTACTATCAGTGCAGCGGCGGCGGCTAAGCTTGGTATGATGGCCTGTTTTGTGACGTCTCAAAGCGTGACAGCGACGAATTTGCGATCACTATTAGTGCAGCGGCGGCAGCGGCTAAGCTTGGAATGATTGCTTGGTGTGTCCCTGCCCTGATAGTGCCTCCTCTTGTACGTCCATTTTGTAAAAACAAATAAGAAGGTTTAGTGTACCTTTGAGGCGCCTCAAAAGTCAAATCAGAAGGTTTAGTGTACCTTTGCACTGGCACCTCTCGCACAATCTTTGTATGCGTGTTCCTGTTTCCATTGTTTCCTCCGGTCCATTCTGAGCCATTTTGAGTTCCTTTAAACCCTAGTTGTCCTTGTTTTCCCCCTTCCTCTCTCCCATGCTCCCACCGTCCATTGGCTTTTCTTATGTGCAGTTTCTGACAGCAGCCTCGGATCGTGAGTCTTCAACCCCTTAAGAACAGACACACACACACACACACACACACACACACACACACACATACACACACACACACACACACACATACACACGCACACACACACCACCCACACAGCAACATGGGACACACAGCATAAGGCACACGTGACCTCACATTCCCTTCTCCACTCCTTTTTGCAAACATTTTTTCTACTCGTTCACCAATTCCAAAGCCCTTTCAGTCTCTCATCTCAACAAGATCCTAGATTATGTCTGAATCTTCTGTAATTAGCTCACTGTGAATCATTCAGTAAGTGGGACGACGACTTTAATGTCCTGTTGCCTGTCTAAACCAAAACACTTCTCGTCCCTCTCCCTGCATGTCTCCCACTTCAGCTTGAGGGTTCTGTTTCAGTCTCAGCTGGACCGAGCCGTGGCCATTTTGGACCATGGCGGGGTGACCAAGCTGATTGCCCACCCCAGTGGCAGAACCGCATTTCAGGTGAGGAAAAATATTGGAAACGTGACTTCAGCTTGAAAGTTCTGTTTCGGTGTCAGTTGGACCGAGCCTTGGGAAAACAGCAGAGTGACTAAGATGATAGCGCATTCCAGCGGCAGAAGTGCATTCTGGGTTAGATAGAATCTCAATAGAAATGTTTCGCTCATTTCCGTCCACCTGCTCAATCCAGCCTGCTCATATCAACCTACTCAATGCAGCCTGCTCAGTCTAGCCTGCTCATATCAACCTACTCAATGCAGCCTGCTCAGTCCAGCCTGCTCATATCAACCTACTCAATACAGCCTGCTCAGTCCAGCCTGCTCATATCAACCTACTCAATGCAGCCTGCTCAGTCCAGCCTGCTCATATCAACCTACTCAATGCAGCCTGCTCAGTCCAGCCTGCTCATATCAACCTACTCAATGCAGCCTGCTCAGTCCAGCCTGCTCAGTCCTCCGTGCTCAATCCAGCCTGCTCAATCCAGTCCATGGAGGTTCACGGCAACGCCAGGAGCTCCGCCTTCCACATCTCTCTACCGCAGCACTACTTCCCCTGCCAGTCATTTTTTATTCGACTCATAACTCATTACTTGGTCGACTCAAAACTCATTGCTTGTTCGACTCAAAACTCATTACTTGGTCGATTCAAAACTCATTACTTGGTCGACTCAAAACTCATTACTTGGTCGACTCAAAACTCATTACTTGTTCGACTCAAAACTCATTACTTGGTCGATTCAAAACTCATTACTTGGTCGACTCAAAACTCATTACTTGGTCGACTCTAAACCCGCCAGCCTGCTCAATGCAGCCTGCTCAATGCACCCTTATCAACATCCATGGAGGTTCGCGGCCCCAGGAGCTCCGCCTTCCAAATCTGCCTGCCACACCATTACAGCCTGCTCAATCCACTCTGCCTTCATCAATCCAGTTTGCCTTTACTGACGCCCATGCAGGTTCGCGGCAACCTCAGGAGCTCTGCCTTCCACATCTGCCTGCCACACCATTACTGCCCGTGCCAGTCATTCTTCTATGACGCAGTCTCTCGTGGCGAACAGCTCATGGTGAGTGTGACACTGTAGCGCCGCAGCCCATTACGAGGCACTACAAGTCCGTGCTGTTGCACAACTGCCTGCCACACCACTACTGCCCGTGCCAATCATTCTTCTATGACGCAGTCTCTCGTGGCGAGCAGCTCATGGTGAGTGTGACACTGTAGCGCCGCAGCCCATTACGAGGCACTACAAGTCCGTGCTGTTGTACAACTGCCTGCCACACCACTACTGCCCGTGCCAATCATTCTTCTATGACGCGGTCTCTCGTGGCGAGCAGCTCATGGTGAGTGCTGTATCGCAGCAGCAGCCTATAAGGAGGCACTTAAAGCCTGCGTTCTCTTTCACATCTGTCTGCCGCACCACTACTGCCCGTGCCAGTCATTTTTTTGTGATGTTGTCTCTCGTGGTGAGCAGCTCATGGTGGGTATGGTACTGTATTAAAGCACCCTATAACGAAACTCTGCAGAATTGTGTTCTTCACAAATGAATCTCGCACCACCGCTGCCTTGTCAACATGTATGCACATTACTCCATCATGCAAACTTATATTCGTACGAACATATGGGCTGTACAACGCCGTGTATCTTAATTCGAACCACGAATGTCAATTTCCCACAGAAACTTCATCAACTTTGTTTGCTTGCCATTTTCTGTTCCCTCATTTGAGGTCCATTTTCCTCTCTTCCCCTGTGATTCCCAGTGCAAGCATTTACTCGCCACTCGGCTAGCCGAGTCCCTCAAGTGTTACAACGTGGCACATGTCAGTGATGGCGCTCTGTGCTTGGCCTTGTCTCAAATGTAGCAGTCATGTTGGCATGCTTCTCACAATTGCGCCAGGCACTGTCCATATGTTACAAAATGACACCTTGTGCCTGGCCTCGTTTCAAATGTTACACAATTTCCGGTAGGTATTGCGTGGGTTTGTACATATTGTTGAGGACCAATGTAAGCTTTCTATTTTTCTACCCCACCAACTGGAAGATCAATCTAGTAAGGCACACTACTGTGTACAGCATGCCAAGCTTCTTGCTTTGCAATTGAGACCACGATTGCTTCTACTGAGCTTGGCATGTACTTCATGCCCTTCACTCCATGAAGTCTGCACAACCAGAAGATTCTAATGCCTGTTGTGTTGGAAACAAGTAACTTAAACGCTTCTGATGTGTCGCAACTGCAAGCTGAAAACGAAGCTAACTACAACGAAGCAACGGCGAGTCAACCATCGGAGGTTGACAAGAGAAGTAACTGCTGGAGGTTACGCGAAGGTCAAAAGTCAGCGACCTTTGACTTGACAAATGCAGCGCGACAGCAAGGACAAACAACGGACTCGATACTGAGCAGTTGCCCGAGTCGTCACTGTATCGAACCGCAACAGCAAGAGTAAAACAGTTATTAGTTGTACCCTTTCGTATTCTTTGTAATCTTATAAAAGCTTGTATTACTTTTCTATAATTAATCTATCTTGCCCTCACATACTAGCGCAAGGTGGTTCAACACTTGTAATTAAAACGCTTCCGCAACCACAAATACTTCTACTCAGAGTTTAGCCTTGCAAAGATCCTAAGGGCTTTTCTCAGCCCAACATGGTATGAGAGCAGTCAAGGCAAATTCAACTGCATTCAAATCCTCTACAACGACAGAAAGCATGGCAACGCAGAAGGAGAGAAGCTCCTCCAACGGCTCTCCTGGCACTACTCCTACTCCACCTCCAGCCTCTGGCCTGCAGACAGAGGGAGGTACAGCAACAAGACCAACAGCTGAGTCTACTGAGACTCCCGCGAACCAAGCGACAGGCTTCGACCCAAGTATGATGGAGAAATTCTTCTCCTTCATGTCCTTCTACGAACAGCATCTGCAAGCGGCACCTGCGCAGTCAAACATCAGCAACAACAACAACAACAACGATGTTACACCCATGAGTCTCGATGGCTCATCCTATGCGCGCGGAAACCAGCAGCAACCCACCTTTGCTCCGTATGAACCTCAACGTGGCTCAATCAGCTTCATGCCGCAACAACAGCCTCGACCTGGACAGGAGAAGACACTGGATGCACTCCAGGTTCAATCGCAGTTCGCGCACGTCTTGAAATTACAGACATCAATGCCTTTCGACGGCAAAGACTTCTATACCTGGTCATTCGAGTTTGAA